AGTTGCGCTGCAGACTAACGAACCAGGAGTCGACTACCCAAGTACTTTAGTAGAGAAGGATAAAGAAAAAGAGACTTTGGAAAATACATAAAGAGTTGCAGTCCAGTAGCACAAGTTATCTCAATACAGGCCTCAATTCAAGGGAAATAGTTTGAGATTTTAAAAAAACAGGAAAGAAATTGGAGGAATAGATGGTGAAAATACACCAATCTACCACCCTTTCTTTACGAATGAAAGCACATTATAAGCAAAGGTAAAGTGAAATAAAACAGTGACTTGCAGCAAATCTCCCAACCACGCACACTGAAAATTTGGTAAAACAATCAATATAGAGAAATTGAGAAAAAAAATCAAGAGATTTCACCATCAGCTCTGTGGCAATCTTTGCGGGGAAAAAATCGCAAAATAAATCGAGAAAAACTTGAGCAGAAACAAAGTGATGACTTCTGTAGTCCAAGAGAGTCCCAAATGTGACAATTAATGCACAGGGCTCAGCATGGAATGAGAGTGTAGAAAAAAAACAACAACTCAAAACAACACCAACAGTAAAAAAACCAAACAACAAACAAAAAAACTATCCATAGTTTAAAGCGGGTCAGTGTACTCAGTTAACTCTACTCAATGTACAGGAAAACAATAATTTACAGAGTCAAACAAAGGTAAAAAAACAACAAATTAATGAAGGCAGAAGTAAGGATTTTGTACAGGTTTCACAACAATCATTCATCATTCAGGTCTGCTCGCAAAAACACTGATCAGAGTCTATAGATATGACATCAAAATTTTATAAGGGATCTTACAACTAATAAGACGTCCATGAAAAGAATAAAAAATGGAAATGTTGTCAGTCATTTCAGAACTAAATGTTTCAAAAAGTAACTTTTTTATTTACTAGGGGCTGTTGCTAATTTAAAAGCCTTACTCTCTATTTGAGAAAAAAAATGAGGACAGAAATTCTAGCAAAAGGAAGAAAAAAATAAACAAATCAACAAAGTCAGCAGCATTACAGCGATAAAGTTTCAAACAGAAAAACATAAATATATGCAAGAAAATTAATTTACAGAAAAAACCCCCAATAGACAAAACAAGTAATGTAACAAAAAGTACTCCTCAATTTGGCACTGATCTGGAGTTTGGTGTCAGACACATGGCAATTAATGCTCTGATGTGGAAAAGCAAAATTAAAAACTGAAACCATCTTCTGAATCTTCATACTCTTTATGAAAAACTATTTGTTCATGGGAGGAAAGTAGTTTTTCACAACAGAAACAAGACAGAAACCACAAAATCTTTGCAGTGGGCATTCTTAATCATAAGACATAACATAACCCCGCAAAGCATGAACACAACAAACAAGTATACGAGCACTACTAACAAAAAAAAGTATGCATGAGGGCTCATTTTAAGTGCTGATTCTTCCCTATAGCCTCTATCTTACTAACCAATCAGCATCCAGTTACACACACACACACACTCACCCACACAAACACATACATATTAAACAAAATTGTGGAAAGTAAAGAGTAGGAAACACAAGGACACTTGCTGATAACTGCACCATGATAACGATACAGTTCAAGGATTTTTCAAGGAGTAGAGGACATCACAACAAGGGAGCAGAGGACACTACCATAAGAGTAGGATCGGGCTGAGGAAGAGTTCTCTGAGGAGAAAAGGTACATTCCATGCAATGATCATGAATATTTTATAAAGACAGAAATGTGCAAGATTGTTTAGAGGTTGAACACCCCTTGCAATACAGTCCGTGCCGGCTTTACGCACGCCGGCTTAAAGCACGTTTCGGACTCAAGCATGCTAAACGGCTCTTACCGAATTTTTGCTAAATAAATTACACGCCTTTAAGCACGGTAACTTCGGCTTCAAGCACGCTTCATTTACAAGACAGTCAATATTTTCATGATGACCCATCGAAGTTCGAACAGTCTACACCGCAGCAGTGGAGTGTGTCAAGAGAAACACAAAGAACGCAAGTGATGGACACACACACTCACACGGGCGGAGAGGAAGGCAGATGCACACAGCCACACGCGCAGACATAGGATCTAGCCTAGGCCTAGGGCAAAGCTACACACCAAAAAATATACAAAGAGAGTCGGGGAGACGAGAAAGGGAGGCTGGCTGCGATTTCACCTTTGACCCTCGCTATCCATTAATCCTGATTGTGTATCACGCGCGAGGTGGGATGAAGTGGTGGTATGAGTGGCACAGCGGGTAGTGGTACGCACAGGCAGTGTGTAGGCCTAGCGTGCTGTATCGTGACTGGCCGTCTACTTTAAGTTTTCATTTCCCATTCGACCACAAAACAAAAACAAACAAGCGAACAAAAACTACCATGGCGGGTGTCTAAATAACAGTGCACTTTTGCAGGACCGCTATAGGCCTACTTACAAACTAAGGGAAATAGCACGGGAAATTTTCTACCTGAAAATCTTTGGATTATGTCAACTTCGCACTCAAGCACCCTTCGGCTTTAAGCATGCTTAAGCTTTCTCCCGATGACCGTGCTTAAAGCCGGCATGGACTGTACTTAAGTTATACATAAGAGGCACGACCTCCGAATTTAACGTCCATCTTAAATAGGACCGAGCCAAACGGGAAAAGTCATGTAAAGTACTTTTTCCAAAGAAAGAAAATCCGACCAGGCTGAGCCTTGAACTCCTGAGCTAGAAGTTTCATGATTTCGAGTCTGGTAGCTAACCATTAGAAAACCGACGCCACATAAAGATAGAGTACTGTGGCAACAAGATCTGCATGGTTTGAGATCAATGTCCCTATAATGCTGTGTAAGGTTATTCTTGTGACACATTGTACCCCCGTAGCTATGTATCAGGGAGCCCAATAGTTAAAACAAAATAAATGGTAATTTGTAACTTTAAAAAATAATGTTTCTTTCTTGGGGGGGGGGGGGGGGGGGTGCGTAAATTCAAGAAACAGTGTCATCAGTTCTATGTCTTAGTGGTTCTACATGAAGTCATCAGCACATTTAGGTGTTCTTAACCACTGTGTTTCCCTTGCCTGGACTAATAGTGATAACAACAGCATATATGTGTCACGATGCAGAGGAATCAGGCACTCGCCAATTTTTGGGCATGTGGACTTATTGGTATCATCGTAAAGCTCGTTCATTTGTCCATCTTTCAATGAAATACCCACCTGTGTTGAACAGATGTCGAGATATTTGTTATTTGCGATAGAAGGAGGTAGGGGTCACCAGATTTCAGAGGTTACTAAAATGTTGTGATTTTCAAAGTAGGAGAGTCCTTGAAATGTTTGGGCTTGAAATCAACATTAAAAAAAAAAGAATTTGAACAGAAATGCGTTTTTGAATAGATTAAAAAGATGATGAGCCATAAAAACATAGATTAGATAAAAATTGCCAAACTAGCAGAAAAAAAGCTGTTTTCTTTGACTTAAGAACTTTGACGAGTACCTGATTTCACCATGATGCCTCACATATTATGTTGAGAAGACATTCCACAAAACAGAGATACAGTACATCCCATAATTCATGGCCTCAGTTCTAAGTGAACTGAAAAGAAATTTGACATTTTGATACACACACACACATATATACATGTATATATAATTATACAATCCCTTTAAAGAATTTTAGATATAATATCTCTCTACATGCACCAACACAGAATCATATATATCCAGGTCAATCACAGTCGGTTTGGTACGATATGCATGCATAAGTTAGAATAAATGCAAATGGAAGGCAGCGCTGATACATATGATTACATTTCTACGACGACTAAGAACAATGCAGTTATTTATTATTAGCACCTTTCCCACGCGCATGATTATATTTCATTTATCATCTGCTAAGACACCATAAATATGTATTACACGGACATATATGACTTACATACAATACCGTATATAACAGTGGATGTGTCAAATGTTGATAGGCTTCCAGCATGGCATGGCTGCTTAGTTAAGTTTAAGTAAGAGTTTTACGACAGTTGCAACACAATTAGGTCATAAAAGTGCTGAAGATTAGGGGTGTTACTAGAGTGTAATATACAAAAAAAAAATAAAAAGGAGGAGAGATAATGACAATAGATGTTAGACAGGAAGAAGGAGCAAACCACATCAGAGTGCTCACCAACCATCAACGACGTGGCTGTTTTGATAAGAACAATTTCAAATAACATAATTTGATGAAATTGTAAACTAGCTCTTAACTACGATTTCATGGGGTGAGGTCTCATTAAAAAGAAGCAGAAACACTACCAGTTTGTTTCCTATGGCTTCGGCTTTTCCTGGCGTCTGTATGATCGTGAATAGTCTTTCATTCCAGTTGCTATTGGCATGTAGACTACAGTAACTCAGAGCAACAGCAGTAACTCTATTCCAAGAACACATTGGGACTCATATACCGGTAACAATAACATGGAAATTATAAAAGAAACAGAAGACCTCAACAGACCAATCAAAAAGGGAAATTTGGTCAACTTGACCCCCATTTAAAGTAATATAACCACTAAACTTTTGAATTTCTAGACAAGATCAGCAAAGATGTAACAGTGGATAAAGAAACATTGTCAATCAACCCGCAGTGAGCAACTTAAAACATTGCTCAATGCTAAAACCAAAACCCAGTTGGTCATTTCGTCAGCCTACAAAGACAGAAACACAGAAAACGTGTTATCACCATTTACATTAAAAGAAATAACGTGACTACTTAATATACATATGCAAACACATACATACAACTACTGCTACAACGTACGGAAGATTTGTATTTCAAAGCACAATAAAGAAAACATGTTTCTCCAGACTAGAAAGTCCCTAACATGACATACACTTGCACATTGGGTCTCGTATGGTCTACAGACCTAGTCATGGTCAGCATAAGGCACAAAAATCATATTAATTTGTCAGTGCCTTATTCATAGTTCTTTCTCTACAACAATAAACAATTTTTTAGTTCTTGTGGGGATAAACATAAAAGCACTTTCTGATGATGAGTATTTTTTTTTTGTGTTCCGTAAAATTGGTCAAATAATATGTAATTAACATCGTTGGCATGCAGTATCCAACTCCAAATAGAAGAAAGCTGTTGATGTGTGTGTATATCTGCACTGATGTAGTGAGCTGCGATGTGAACCATAAAAGTACACACATGAAATAATGTCTTATTTCTTTACATGGCACTCTGCAAATTTTTTAGACATTACTTTTTATTTACTTTCTCCTTGGAACAGCTCTTAAAGAAAATAAGAAATCAATTTAAATTACAGCTAACATATAAGTGCAGCAATTACATCTTATTGCAAGAAAAGTAAATTATTTTTATAAAGAAACACATAGATTTGCCATGCATAAAATGTGAGATTAAACTTTTTGTGTGATTGATTCAAGTTTTAACAGAGGTGGAAAAATACGAACCACATCATCAAAAAAAAAAGTTTTTAAAATAATTGAAATAGGATACACACACAAAAAAAACTCCATCAAAAGAAGTCAGTGGAACAACAAACTGCACTGGATCACATTCAGTTTTTCTCTGTGCAAGTAGCATGAGAGGAAGCTGAGTGAGATAACCAATACTACTAGGAAGAGGTGAATGTCAAATAGAGTAATGGCAATGGTGGGGCTGACTGTTGCAGTAACGCAAGTGGTGACAGTGCTATATGTGATAAGGGTGTTAAAAATGTTTGTAAAGGTGAAAACGATTGTGATGGTATTAATGCTGTTGTTGTGTTAGTTTAAATGCAAAAAAAAAGTACTTTTAAGTCTTAGTCTCATTTTAAATCAAGACTGCGGTGGGTGAACGAAAACAAAGGCTGCTTCTTAGAAACGAGAAGTCTTAATTTTAAAAAACCACAAACATCCTATCATAAATTACAAACAGTCATGGTCAAATCTGGTGTATGAAAGGAGAACAACTGATAAGAGTCAATTACCAGATTTAAACACCCCATGAAGGCAGTTTGAACACACACCAAGATTATTATCATCATGACTGTGCCTGTGACTGTTCCTTTTTCAGGTGGTAATTTAATTAACTGCTCTAGCAAATAAGTGAGTACCAAATTAGGACATTCAAATAGCAAAGCTTATACTGATCCCTCATCAAGATATAACATTATTATAAATATATTCAAGGCACCAGATTTAGAGGAAAGCCTCTAAAAGTTTTTACTAAAAAAGACTTATATAGAACAAAGGTACTCTTTTACATTTTTCAAGTAAGTTCTAACAACTAAATAAAATTGCGATCATGGTAACCTCAGCCTCCAGGCAAGCATTTGCCATACATGACATCATCAAACAGAACAAACACAATAGTCTGTGGTGATGGATCAGAGCCTTTTTTAAAGAACTTTAAAACAAGTCATAAAGATGATCACCGGTTGTAGCTTAACCATTTGATAGATATTAATTATAATGGAACATCAAAATACAAGTGCATTACATACTCTCCTCAAAGTGCAGCTCACTCAACTCATTGTCACCTCAGTATTAATAATTGATTTACTTCAGTCTGGTGAAAATCTGAGTGGGGGAGGGGATGGGAGGGGGGAGCAATCACATGACACAGACATGCCCCCAAAAACAATCCACAATACGATGTAACGTAAGGAAATCACATGAATTTGCTTGAATATTTAACAAACACTGACACAAAACTATAAAACACGTCAAGTATCAAGCATCACTTTTAGTCTACCTCACAATCTGATGAATGAATAAATGCTTTCCTCCTTTGAGCAATAACAAACTGGGATGGGAGCCCCTTACTTACTAGATTGGATCACAGTTTCATCTGCGAACTGTCCTTAAATCCTAAACTTTTCATGGAGCTGTTAAATGATAAGCTCCTCTGTTCAAGTCCATAGCTTATCACAAGTACAGGAGAACTTAGAAGTATCCTTTTGAAAATAAAACTTGCACGAGTCAACAAAAAAAAGAAACAGATTTGAGCACCAGTACCATCATCTATGTGAATCCTGCCCTCCAAACATGAAAACCATATATGTATGTTGATGCAATTCAATAATATGCCTCTAATATGAATCATCTTTTGACTAACAAGGGAGCCAGTTTCCCAGTGCTATACTTGTTATCAAGTAAGGAATTCAGGTTCTGAATTCTGAAAATATGTTTTGGTCAAGACTCATGGCACTTTGTTATTGACTTTTTGATTATCTTGGTGGCACAACTTCATATGTTGTAGTTAAAGGCCTGTTTCTCTCAGGAAGAAACCTTTGGGACCAAAATGCATTGGACTGCCTTGAATTCCAAAGCAAGGTCATGCAAAGCAGTGACTATAAGATACATTTGGTTCCAAAGAAAATAATTCCTGTACACAATTTTAAACTTGCTTTCTAATTAAGTTAAGTGAGTAAAAGAAGGGCTAAGACAAAAATGATTCAAGCCGAACATTCTCGAAAACTAAGTTACTAAAAAGCCGATATTAACTTACAAATCGGAATAAACACTTTAAACCCAGCAAAACAAGAACTCAAGAGCTGTGTTGTTTTCACAATCAATTAGCCCAAGAAACAGGGTTCAAAACATTATAGAAATGAACAAAAAAATATCAGACACAACAAAAATTCTCCAATTTAAAGAAATAAAAACGGCTTACAGATGACCCAAATATCAATATCCACACTCTTCTTTGTGACAGAGGAAAAGATGAACTAATACATTGATTATTACAGCCATCCCTACAAACATATTAATGAGTCGGGAGGTCATTAGACAAACAAATAACTTAAAAAATAAACCACACTCATTCATATCTATGCACTTTCTACTAGACACGTAAATATGACAATGATCCCATTCATTAACTTGATGGTCTATCAAATATCTACTGCAAATATACGGAAACCTGAGGTGAGAAATAAATATGGACCACTTTGCTTCACTTGACCTGCTGTTGTGGAGCAGAAATCAGGGTGTCCAGGTTAGATATTACTGATTAGTAGATCACACAGCTTTAGCAGTTGCACTTTGGATTGCTGTATATATTTTGACAACACCTTTGTTCATACGTACACATTCATTACTTTTTGGATTTTCGTGCGACACAAAGGACACACACGTCTGTTGGACACTCTCGAACGGACAATTTGATCAGCACACAGGACGCACATACACATGTGTCGACACGGCATCACAAGCACAGATTTGATTTGGTCCTGACACACAACACATTTGCGCTTGTCCCTCTCTCTCTCCATTTCTCTGTCAAAATCCTCCGGGCTGCTTACAGCTTTCGGAGCCCGCGATGGGGTAGCAGCTCGGCTTCGTAAGCTGTAGCTTTCGTCGACTGTTGGTAGTTGAACGTCAATCTCGTGGTCGCTCGACTCAGTGGAAAATGTTTGCGAGTTCAAAGATGCATCGCTGTCAGAGTCCTCCTCCTCCTCCGTTATGATGGTATATTCATCAGATTCATCATCACCTTCGTCATCATCATCTGATACCTCAGAAACAATTCCTGTTCCGTCCCTATCGTTCGTGTTGTCAATGTCGGAATCACTATCACTTTGGTCCTCATCATTATTATCATCGTCATCTTCACCTCTCGTGCTTGCCAACCACCCCCTTTCATCATTGTCAGAGCCAAACAGGTCTTCATAATCACTCTCAAAGTTCCGGTCAATATGCCATCCAGAATTGCCCCTTCTACGGCGCCGAAGGGGTCTGGGAAAAATAGAAAGGCCATGGGAAAAGAAGTAGCGCACAGCATTGGAGAAGGTGAGGTAGACTAAACAGAGAATGATGATGCCCAAATAGGTCTCCTTGCTAGCCGAGGTGAGGCTTCTGTAGAGGGTCTCTGTCACTTTTCTCCATCCATCTTCCACACACTGCATGGAGTAAACAGGGAAATACGCCACAGACGAAAGAACAAACCCTAAGCCATGCCAGGCCCCTGTTACCACACTCACACAGTAATTCCCGATAGTTGTGACAAATAACAAAAAAGCAGACAAAGTGGCCCAGAAAGCATTCACGCCACTGTTAGCTGAGGCTGATGCAAATTCACATACGGCCATGATGGAGCTCTTCACAGCTGCACACAAGGAATAAACAAAGTTATACCCTGAAATAAAGGTGTCCGCAATGTATGAGCACAATGACTGAAAAAAGTCATGGGCGATGATCAATGCCTTCCAACATCTATACACAACAGAGCTAATCACATCATACACTTCCACAACAAAATCAGCAATGCAGACAAAACTTGACACAAAATATGATTTTACTGCCCGGACGACGGACAGAACAGTGGTCACAACAATGGACACCATCTGCACAAAGGCAGCCACCACCTCATAGTTGACCTGAAAGACGTACTTGACAGCATCCCTGACCATGTGCACACCCGCCGCAACAGTACCACAAGCAGAGTACAGGGCATCCAGCATTCTTCCCTGTGCAAACGCACATTCAACTAGAAGACTCTTCAAAGAATATAGGTCTCTTGAAGCAGTGCAACAAGATTTTGCACCATTCAGATTCAATGTTATTCAATAACAGACAAACCAAAAAGCTCAAAATGTTTCAAACTGCTGACAACTGAATCAGGATCTTTACCCTAATAAGGTTTCCCATTAGAAGTCAGTGAAGAAGTACATTTCAGCTCGCACTGAAGAGTAGCATTAGTCCATTCAAACTGGCCTAAATTGCAGACAGCAATACCGACATCATTTTCATGACGTATTCTATCCCCATACCATCAAACGTACGTTCCACATGATGAAGTGTCTCCTGCTATTAACGTATCCATTTCCAAATAACTGACTCGGATCAGTGTCTCAGTGGGATTCGTCAGTCTGTACTGCTCTGGGGGAGGCTGCTGCGAGACGCAGGGCAAAGTCAGAGCTCTGAGTTGTGTCCTGGACAATCCATCAACATGAGGACATCACATGTTCCTCTCATCTGTCTGCAACATTCACTGTGAACAAAAACATCAAGTTATGGTATTATTATGTGTGAGAAACCTTACTTTGATCATTCAGGGCTTTTTTCACAACATCAGTCAAGGTAGAGCCAAAATTTCTAGATTTTTACCTATACCATACTAAATTGGAACCACCAGCTGTAGCTAATTCCATACTCCAAGCTCACAAGGAGATGGTGGAGGGGGGAGGGGGAGATAGAAAGGTATAAAGATAAAGAGGGAGAGAGAGGAAAAAAAAAGAGAGAGAGAGAGAGACAGACAGAAAGACAGACAGACAGACAGACAGACAGACGGACAGACAGAGAAAGAGAGTAAATTCTAAGAACTCTGGTTTTTTAATTTAAAAAATCAACTGATAAAAAAGTTATTGGAATTTCTGGTTGCAAAATGTTGGAGACCTTTACATTATAAAATCTTCAAAAAGTGGGACGTTTCTTTATTTATGTACTTTAGGGAAAATAATCCCAAGCGAGACAGAAGAAAGAATGAGTGAATGAAAGAAAGGGGGAAATTTGCACAAAATGATCGCTATTATGTCTAGCCAGATTTCGATCAATTCGCAGGTAAAAAATGTATTTCCACCCAACTCGCAATGAATGCTAAATGAATAATGGCCGATTGCAGAAAATGCGCAATCTGGCAGGTTTATATAACATTATCGTATTGCCAAAAGAATTAGCGTAAATATTACATAAGGCGACATAAAAGCGAGTACGGATCCTTTGCTATAGAGTTTTTGTTGCCCAACGCTAACGCACTTTTTGAATGGATGGAGTTGATAATGATGGGGGAGCAAATGAAACTCTCACAAAGTACAGATTTCTGTAAAATTTAAATACGGAACATTAAATATCAAAAGCCCTGTACTTTGGATCTTAAAGAGTAATATTTGGGTAAAAATGTGTTTGATTGCACCAATCACTTGAACTGCTACTGATAGGGGAGCACATGGAATGCTTGCTAGGCATTACAAAAACTTCATAAACTTGCAACACATCTTTGGTTATAAACTGCTTTGGTCTGACTTTGAACATACAGGGCAGAAATTAGTTGAATTTACTCCATCTGTAACAGAAACAATACACTGTTCTCCAGTCACTCCCCCAATCGACTCCTTTGAGACCTAATTTTGGTTTTGTTCAGCCAATCACATTTCACATTGCCATCACACCTCCCTCGGATGCTGGCATGCTAGCTTGTTCCGTTTGTAACCCAGTTTCCGGCTCTAGTTTTTTTCCCCTGAATGTGCGGAAATTTTATCTTAGTATGTAAAATGTACTACACAGGGATCTCAGATTTTACAGCAATAAAGAAGACACAATAAGCGCCTCACACTCACAGTTCGACGACCAATTCGCAGATCCTTTTAGTTTTTGAGAGACAGAAGAAAATCGCACAATCACAGCAATTTCTCCGGTTCTAGAAATCGGTCTGCATTGTACACTCACATAGTTTATGTAGTAAGTTTGGCCTTTCCTCTAATTGGTTGCCAAATTTTATTCATGATTTTTATCCACGGGTTTTCTCGTAACTACAGTCGAACCTGCCCTGGCGGCCACCTGTACAAACGGCCACTTTCAATTTCCCCCCCTTGCGTTTTTCTATATAATTTAACTGTGTACAATGGGCACCTGTCCAACGCAGCTGCAGCCGCCATATTTTAACACACAACCCCTATCACACCAAGCAATAACCCCTGTCTTAGATGGCCACCTTAGTGACTCCATTACGTTTTGTCATAAATTGTGCACTGGTCCCTGGCTTTGTGGGCGAGCCGTCATAATCCAATTATCTGTCGTTGTTGCTAGGTAGTCCCTCCAACCGATCATGTTGTGTAGGCCCCTCCCACTGTTGACCAATAGGTAACAAATTTTCAGCAGCTGGTGAGGTAAGCGTGTGATCCCTTATAACCAATAAGCCCCGCCCAGAACTCGTAAACAAATCGTAAGCAAGATGTGCCGTCACTGTTTACCCAATCAGTAACAAAGTAACAATAGACGTCAATATGAACTTGTGACAGAAGCGTTGCTCATTCTCCGAGTGGTGGCGACCCATGTGTTTGTTTCACCATAGCACTCGGTCCTTCTTGTCTGACACATTTCATTATATTGTCACCTTTCCACAAAATCAGCAACAAAAGAAAAGAAAAAAAAACCCAGCGAAAACAAAAATAAATAAATAAAAACCTGATGCCATGATTATTTGCCAACCGGAAGTCATTGCAAAGATGAAGTCCCGCGGATCACCCGGACCAGACAGCATCCCTCCGTCCTTCCTCAAAGACCTGGGTCCCAAAGCGCTGGAGAAACTGCTCTCCATCTTCAACATGTCATTTCGCTCAGCTGATGTCCCACAAGTCTTGAAAGACGCCATCATTGTCCCCCTCCTCAAGACCGCCAAACCAGCATCGGAACTAACGTCGTTTAGACCGATAAGCCCCACATCCGGTGTCATCAAAGTTAGGGACAGAATGGTATCTGAACGGAATGGCTGAGCGGAACGGCTGGTTCTCCGAACTACAGGCTGGTTTCAAGAAGGGGAGAGGTGTGGAAGACCAAATTCTGAGAATTATGCAGAAGATTTCCGATGGCTTCCAAAAGAAGGAGAAATCTGTACTCATCCTCCTCGATTTTTCAAAGGCATATGACACGGTCTGGCGAGAACGCCTACTCCACACCCTCCTAGACAGAGGTATCCCAGATTCATACGTTTTATGGCTGAATGACTTCCTTCAAAATCGTCAAGCCAGAGTCCGATTCAACGGAATACTGAGTAATAGCACGAAAATGAACCAAGGCCTCCCACAAGGTTCCGTCTGGCACCCATCCTCTTCCTTTTTTATATCGACGAACTGGCGAAACCACTTCCGGATGATCTCACAATTTCACTCTACGCTGACGACGTCTCTATCCTCACTTCATCACGCACGACACGAGACGCCGAAAGTCTGGCACAAAGAGCGGTGGACACCGTTGTTGACTGGAGCAGGCGATGGAAACTCACGCTAAACGGCTCAAAGAGCGAGACTACATTCTTCACGCTCGCAACATCTGACTCGGAATGGAAGCCATGCATCACGATAAATAATTCGACAATTAAGTATGAGCCCTACGCAAGACTCCTGGGAGTCACACTCGACTGCAGGCTCACGTTCAGGAACAGGTTGAGACAGTAATAGCTAAGGCCACACAGAAGATGAGGATGCTCGGCGCTGTAGCGCACTCAAAATGGGGATAGAGGAAAGATGACCTACGCAAGGTCTACTTAATCCATATACGAAGTGTTCTCAACTTTGTGAGCAGCAGCTGGCAACCGTGGCTGAGCAAAACTCTGATAAATAATCTGGAGGTGGTTCAAAGCAGATGTCTGCAACTGATCACCACCCAAGCCCAGTCCTCACCGATCGAGGCACTTCGAGCTGAAACGGGGGTCCCAAGCATTCAGTCCACCATAAATGCTAACTGTCTCCGATCAAGAGAGAAGGCCCTCCGACTGAACAACGACCACCCTCGACGAATTGCGGCAACGGAACAAGTGCACAGACGCCTAAAGGGACGCATGGATTTCCGAAAAAGGGCCGAAGATGTCAGCAAAAAGAGCCCACATCTGTTCAACTGCGAGAGGAGGCCCATCACTTACTTCGAAACCAGGCCCTGGGAATGGGGAATCAACCCCGACATCACTTTCCCCCACCTGTACGGCATAAGTGGAAGGAGTGACTCCAGTGGGAAGATTCAAAGCGCTGCTGTTCGTCGAGCACGAGAGCTTAGCGCACAGTACAATATCTACACTGGCGGCTTGGCTAGGGCAGGAACAACGGACGGCGGCGCTGGAGTCGTCATCACAACGGGGGACCCGTCCAACCTTACCGTTGTCGAGACGAGGGAGAAAGGCGCCATATTCACGTGCTCTTTCGATGAAGAAAGGAGAGCCTTGGAAATGGCCATTGACTGGATTGACAAAGAGTGCGATGCATCCAACTCGGTCGTTATCTTCACCGACAGTTAATCACTATGCATGGCACTAGTTGGAACATCACCATCCCTCGACCAAATGCGACTACGCATAAATGATGCAATACCTCAACCCATGATTCAGTGGATCCCTGGTCACTGCGACATCCTCAGCAACGATCTCGCTGACAGTAATGCCAAACTGGCAACAGCGCTGCCGGGTCCAGGCCGTCAAATTACTTATGAAAGTGCGTGCGCCCAGATAAAACTAATTACAAAAGACCCCCCTATATGCCACACGCGGACGAAGGAAGTATACAGGGCATTTTCCTTAAAATGAGAGGCTCTTATTATGTCCCGCAGTGACCAGTCATTACTGGCAAAAATCAGGACCGGTCACTTCTCTGGGCTGCGGGCCTACAAAAATAGAATAGACAAAACATAGGACCCAACCTGTCCATTGTGCAGCGAGGAACCCCAAGATTTGGAGCACTGGCTGCAGAGATGCCCCGCCACGGAGGCCCGGCGGTGGCATTTCTTCGGGGGGGATTCAGGGAGGTTGGACTGTCTCACCCGCTACCCAAGTCCACAATCCATTTGTTTACATCCAGAGAAGAAATCCAGAAGTCTTGATGACCAAATAGGCAACACAAAGAACAGGGATGCAACATCTGCAAAACATCAAATTAAGGTAAAATTCACCCCTGAACACACCCCCCCCACTCTTAACTCTTGGGGCCCAAACCGGCGAATAATAATTGGGTAAAAGTTAAAGCGCCATTCTTTGCTTGAATTTTGATTTTCTAGCTTTACTTTAGTGTTTCCTTCAAGTCTTATGCTTAGTTCACTCCTTAACGATTACCTGGCAATTCAGAGTCTCTGGCGTTCAGCTTTAGACTTTAACCCTCGTCCTATGGGGCCGGGTTTATGTCGCCCGATAAGCCTATTTCGGCACCTCGCCTGCGTTCTGGTCCTGAGTCAGTTTTGTCCCTGGCTGAGCGCATGCGCGCCGAGCATCATCTCACGTTCAATTTGGGTCCCACGTCAGATCCCCATTCATGCAGGTTTAGTGTGTGCGCGTCAGTCTGCTTGTTTGGGTGCGTTTGTGGTCTTCTTCAAGAATCGCCTGCGTTGGTTTGTAATCGAGGCATACGCCTCATTAAAAACACTCCAAGTTGGTAGCTCTAGATGTTCGTCCAATGAAATTTTAGAAGAAATTGACCCACTTAGACACGAGGAGCTTGAAAGGATTATAGTCAGAAAACAAGACTTCCATTTCACTATACAAAATCTTTCAAATGAGCTTGATTTTGTATGAAATGATACAACCTGATAAAAAATAAGCTCGTTTGATAGTTTTGAATACCATTGTACAGGTACAAAGAACAATTTGAGTGCAAAACATTCGGAAATTGACCTAGATCTATATTTATCCCCTTTCGAACCTCAGGCTATTCATAACAACAAGAGCATCTAGAAAGGTTTTATTCGAATGGGCGTAACAACTACTCGTAAAGTCTTTTATCAGCTTGTGAGAGGTGGTTATTCATGGGACTGTAACACCTAATTTATAGAAAGCTAAGAAAAATCTCAGAGTATTGAGCATTATTTTCATCATCGATCAACACACTCTTACGGTACTCATGGCGAAAACACGTTTCCCGGCGCGCGCGCGCTGTACACCAACGGAAGTGGCTATTCTCACCCGGGGTAAGAATAAAAATATGATCGACCTCTCACCCCAGGTGAGACTTGTCAGCGTTGGCTATTCTCACCCGGAGTGAAACAAGACCTGTTTTTCCTAATTTCGGACTACTGTCTTTTGGTTGGATGATCAAATCAACAAAACCTAAGAAAATAAGATGTTATAGCTCAAAAGTAAGCTAATTTGATCGTCTACAAAGATTCTATATGGCTATTTCACATTTCGAATAGAGCCAAACTAAGCGGGTCGCCATTTTTTTTTGCCCGCAAGTTCTCGCAAGATCTACTCCTCCCCTCTCTCTGTCTCTTTCTGAATACTGTCTATCGATGTGGACAATGAAATTGACCAAAACAAAGATAAAAAATTATGCTAAAACACAAAAAGGTAAATTAATTTGATCGTCTGCAAAGATGCTACGGCTATTTAACTTTTCGAATCGAGCCGAACTACGCGGGTCGCCATTTTGTTTTGCCTGGAAGTTCTTGCGCTACTCTCCTCTCTCTCTCTCCACTGCCCATGTAGTATACTATACGGCCACCTCTATTCTCACCACCTGGTGGGCGTTCACCGTTATAGCCTAGGCCAACCAGTAAAGCGTTCACCCTGAACCACAGAATTCTATACTGTGATAACAGAATTATAGAATTCTGTGCTGTGAACAAACGTTCTAGATCTATTAGTACTGTTAGTGTTAGCCTAAAAGCGTACAATTTTGTCTGTGGGCAGTGGAGAGAGAGAAAGAGAGAGAGAGAGGAGTAGCGCGAGAACTTCCGGGCAAAACAAAATGGCGACCCGATTCGGAAAGTTAAATGGCCACCTCTATTCTCACCCGGGGTGAGAATAGTGCAGGCGAGTCTTTTGGCTATTCTCACCCGGTGCGCGTTCACCGTTATAGCCTAGATCTAGGCCAACAAATTTTGCGTTCACCCTAAACCACAGAATTCTACACTGTGATAACAGAAAAATTGTAGAATTCTGTGCTGTGAACAAACGTTCCATTACAACTGTACTTGTAGCCTATTAAAAGCGTACAATTTTGTCTGTGGGCAGTGGAGAGAGAGAGTGAGAGAGAAAAAGAGAGAGAACAAAACAAAATGGCGACCCGCATAGTTCGGCTCGATTCGAAAAGTTAAATAGCCGTAGCATCTTTGTAGACAACCAAATTAATTTACTTTTGTGTTTTAACATTATTTTTTAACTTTGTTTTGGTCAATTTGATCGTCCACACCGATAGACAGTATTCAGAAAGAGACAGAGAGAGAGAGAAGAGGGGAGGAGCAGATCTTGCTAGAACTTCCGGGCGGGTGAGAATAGCATAACCACTTTCAAGTTAAATAGCCGTAGCATCTTTGTAGACAACCAAATTAATTCAGTTTTCTTGTTTAAAATCATTTTTTAACTTTGTTTTGGTCAATTTGATCGTCCACACCGATAGACAGTATTCAGAAAGAGACAGAGAGAGAGAGAAGAGGGGAGGAGCAGATCTTGCGAGAACTTCCGGGCGGGTGAGAATAGCATAGCCACTTTCAAGTTAAATAGCCGTAGCATCTTTGTAGACAACCAAATTAATTCAGTTTTCTTGTTTAAAATCATTTTTTAACTTTGTTTTGGTCAATTTGATCGTCCACACCGATAGACAGTATTCAGAAAAAGACAGAGAGAGAGAGAGAGAGGGGAGGAGTAGATAGACTAGAGAGAGGAGGCTTCCGTCCTTTCTAAGACTTAGACTAAGACGAAGTCTTAGAACAGGCCTAACAAAAAGTGACCATTTTTGAGTTGCAAAACGGGAAGACAGCGCAAAAGACAGAGGAGGAAAGACGGGTGAGAACATGGCAACAACCTTTTAGTAGAATGCACAAAATAAAGTATCAATGACAGCTTTTGTAGCGCATTCCTAAACAAACTGTATTTTACGTTGTCTCTGTAGACAAACTTACGCCATTTTAAGAGGTCACTTCCGTTTGTTGTGTTGATACATTTGGGATTTTAAAAAACAATGTCAATTTTCAAAGCAAAGAGAAAAAGAATAAAATGATTTCAATAACAAAGGGTTTTTCTTGCATCTCTACTGTAAATTATATTCAAAATCTTTAACAAAATAATTGCTTTTAAAACAGAATATAGAGTGTTACCTATTCTTTTTTTTGTTGTAAACTCTAGTTGTTTTTCTGTTGCTGAGAATTTGACTCCCATATTTGACAAATATTTATGCGCATTAAAAAATAGGAAGTCGCTTATTCATCCATAACCACAACAGGAAACAAACTTGAAATTTATAGGTTAACACATCTCTATTGCACAATGTCTATAATCAGAAAAATGCACTTTTATTGCCGGTGCTCCTAGTGTTGGACAAGTGGATGTTTCTAAGACACTGATCTGTATTTATGGCACGAAGTGATCAGGATGTATTTGCCTGAGAACGGCTATTGGTCTATTAATTAAACTGAAGGCCATCCGAATTTGCCGTGCATTTTATTTGCATGAGCTTGACAACAATAACAACACAGCAGAAGGCAGAAAATTGTTGTGATCAGCTGTGCGGTTTGATTGGTGTAATGAGGATCACAGCTTCGTCGTCTTCTTTCTTGTTTTATAAGCACACGGACTCCAGGTCCACTTCTGTTTTATTTCATGGGGTGCAAAACTGTTTTGGGAAAACAATATGGCATTAATTTAAAAAATAATTCATTTAGGCCTACGGGACAGGCCTAGATCTAGATCTAGATTCTAGATCTAGAATCTAGATCTACACTGTTAGAGAGTGATCCACAAGATTAGAACTTAGATCTAGATCTAGATATCTAGATCTAGAAGATGAAAGAGTTGTTCTAGAAATCTAAAATAGTCTAGATTCTAGAATCTAGTGTGAAGTTTGCATAGATATATACAGCCACTGAGATAGACTTGTAATGCATTTATAAAGCAACCTATTTGCTTCACTGTGTAGTTAGTAAACTTAGAGTGTGTAAATTATTTTTATATTCTGAACTGTCAGTGTACCTCGTATGAAGTAGAGCAAGCCTGGGTTTTGAGAACAGGGATTTTTCTAAATTTAGGACTGCTCATAGAAGGGCTTTTATTCAGAGTAACTTTCTTAATAAATGTTCAGTGAAGATTCTAGTACTTTAATACCATTGGCTTCTTCCTTTACTTTATTACTTTATTGTTAACGAAGAACGCCGAGCAACCGTTGCAACCTGAGTTGGTATAAAAATGTTTTTAAGATTCTTTCTCCATGTGTAAGATTTTAATGTGCGCATTCTTTAGAATAGATTAGAACATGAGCAAAAGTGTTCAAAGCAGTTGCTATATATGTACTGTGCCTCCAACGTATTTAGGCTTTGAACCCAGCTACTTTTTGTAAGTGGGCTGTTCTGGCCGGTGTTGTCTTTTTTTTTTTTTTAATTATGACTCTGCATTGGGTTTACAATTAGTAGCCTGAGATATGACCGAACACTGGAATGAGGATGATAACCATTTCTTTGCTTCCAGTAGCATTGTTTTTATAAGCCTCTGCAGGCTATTTGACTATTTGTTCTTCATCTTTGAAACTTTGTGCAGCGTGCTGATGATTATGGTGTCATTTGCTGCTCAAGTTATATTGTCTTTATTGAACATCATAACATTTGGATTTGGCAAAGTTCTAGTCAATGTAGTCTATTGGAGCTTTTGGCTTTTGTTTCACTTTTCTTGTGGAATTCTGGGCCTGGAAGATCGGTCAACGAGTGCATTTAGTTGGCTTCTTGTTGTGCTAGCTTTTCTCGTGTACTGTGATAGACAGTACCATCACTGGTATCTCAAGTTTTCTAATCCTTTACTTTTGTATATCAGACGATTGACACGACGCAGACTGTTTCACCACCAGAACAGGCAGTTGTATGCCCAGGCTGTGCTTGAAAACCAAAGAAATGAGCACATGGAAATTGAGCCCATCAACAGACAATTAGAGGCTGAAAATAGGGAAAATGAAAATGAAGAAAATTCTATCGTGGAAGCTGACAGGCATAGAATTGACCTGGAAAACCGAATCAATATACAACGTGAAAATGGAGCTGATTTGGATCGAGTTCGATTAGAAAATCGTCAAAATGTGGAGCGAGAAAGGCAGAACACGAGGACGGCTTTAGAAAATAGAAGAAATCAAACTCAAGAACAGCATCGATATTTTCTACGAGAACGAAATAGAGGTGTGTATTCTGGCAGGGGCAGTAACCACTTACAGCATGTTGGGCCCTCGATAGCACGAAGTGAAGATTCTGGAAGGGCTCCTAGTCCTAATGTTTCAAATGATAGGAATTCACAAAGTTCCAGTGTGAGAGTAAGTGCTCGTGGGGCATCAGGTTTTAATCTACAGAATGTCAGTCATGGAGCACATGGAACCCGAGTTGCCACGGATACGAACAACAACCATTTCCCTAACCTCCGGCCTGGTCTTAGAAGCAGATACGGTGACATCAGACTGGCTGATACCTGATGTAACACTGTAGAACCACAACGAGCTGAAGAATAGAGAAGATCTACCTGTCTTTCCGAGCATTTGTCAAAACATATTGCTTTTTATAATATTTTTGTGCCTTATCCCTAGGCGCTTTTTACCCTCTTCCTATTAATATAGTGTGCCATGCTAATGCACTTTTAAGACACTAAAATATATTTAACCATTCTTTCTGTACGGTATCTTATATTATATCTATTTAACTCTCTAAAGTTCCTTAACATTATTTATAATTGATGAAAAATATATATAAATGTTACATGTGAGGATTTTTATTCATCATAAATTTGAAATCATGTCTTACTAAAATGCCATGTGTACCTTGTGTCTCCCCCTAGTCTCTGTGGATTCCCCTGTGCTGTCCATTTTCCCAAAAATAGTGTGTGTGTGTGTGTATCTCTTGCTGACAACACTTGACTTCTGTCTAAAGTTTTTTAAAGTCTTAGATTTTAATGCGAACTTTAGCATGCACTCCTGGCCGATGTGAGCAAATATCTCCAAACATAGGCCTACTATTCTTTATTGAAAGTTGATGTCATCAAATTTGTGAGACTTAATGGTGTGTATGTGAACACTTCTGAAAGGTGCACCAATGGCCTGATGATTGTGGTATCATGCTGTGGCTGTCGGCTGTGCTGCTGTATTGAAATCCTCTTAAAATCTCACCACAAACTTGACGGTGTATCAGCCTCTTAAATGACCAGATATTGTTGAAAGTGTGTTTTGAACCCCTGAACTTAATAACTCTTCAAAAACCCTCATATTTGTTCCCCTGGATTCCACACTTAAATTCTCTTTGTCTTTGTTCAAACTCTGTGAGATAACCTGTGACTGGTATTCAAGAACTGCTTGATACATGAATTGATTTTGACAGTTTCTAACGGCTCATTATATGATCTGATCTAGCCAATGCAATTGATATTTTGGTTTAAGTTGTTTCAATTCAATGAAACTGTTTTTGGGTTTGTTCGTTTTTTTACTTTCATAGCGTGTTGGCATGTCTCTTTTCTTTACAAAGGTCTTAATTCATGGTTATATATATATATATATATATATCTATTATAAAACTTTATTTTGCTAAAATCTGCTTGGCTTTGAACCAGTTCGGAAACAAAAATATTTGCTGAGAAACCCAGTATGAACCATTAGCTCAGACCAGTATGTGTCTCGGCGTGGTGGAATCAGGAGCTCATCAATTTTTGGGCATTTATGGAGTTATTAGCATCATCTTAAAGCTTGTTCATTTGTCTTGCATTTGGCTATAAAAAATACCATTTATCTAAAATAGAAATCGTAATATTTGCGATTAAAGAAGATGGGGACCACCAGGTGTCGGAGGTAAAAATTAGCGAAAAAGTGGCTGCCAAAGTTTGTTGATTTCCAAAGTACAGTCAAACCTGCCCTGATGGCCACCTGTACAAACGGCCACTTTCCATTTTCCCCCTTGCGTTTTTTCTATATAATTTAACTGTGTAAAACGGGCACCTGTCCAACACGGACGGCCGCGGCCACCATATTATTTTAACACACAACCCCTATCACACTAAGCAATAACACCTCGGCCACCTTAGTGACTCCATAGTGTCATAAATTGTGCATTGGCCCCTGGCATTGTAGGCGAGCCGTCATAATTCAATCACCTGTCATTGTTAGGTAGTCCCTTCAACAGATCATGTTGCGTAGGCCCCTCCCACTGTAGACCGATTGCTACCAATTTTCAGCTGCTGGTGAGGTAAGCGTGTGATCCCTCAAAACCGATAAGCCCCGCCGAGAACTCATACGCAAATCGTAATTGAGATGAGTGGTCACTGTTCACCCGGTCTGTAACAAAGTGACAAAGGACGTCAACATGAACTTGTTATAGAAGCGTCGCTCGTTCTCCGAGTGGTGGCGACCCATGTGTTTGTTTTAACATGGCACTCGGTCTTCCTCGTCTGATACATTTCGTTTTATTGTTACCCTTGTGCAAAATCAGCAACAAAATAAAAATTACAAACAAAATACAAACCACCACCACCAACAACAAAAACAGCAACAATGCGGCTACTTTCGATTGGGACCTCAGATGGGAATGGTTCATTTTCTTCGTCTTGATCAGTCCTGCCTAAGACGGCCACCTCAGAGAAGCTTACCTTGTCATATTTATCAAAGATGTGTCAATTGGGGTATAATTCATTTTACAAACCATCACTATCACATAATATGAGCACAAATGACCCTTCATTAACAGGATTTGGGAAATTGTATGGTACTGTGCAACTGATAAAGCCAGTGGTTTCTTGTGATTTACAAGGGGACGGAGAAGAGGGGATAATGTCAGCTAATGGATGACGCCATCAGCACTGTGCGTTATCTCTTACTACATTGTACTCGAGGCTTGCCCCAGAAGCTCTGGTGATGCCCTTCAACTGCTTTGAGTCAGAAGTATGATTGGTCCAAGTGTCCGTGTATCTCTCATGGTCTAAACAAGTACAAGAAGTACAGCAGCTTTTCTGTCATCTCTCAATTTCAAAATGTCTGTTTTGTGGGAGACTTGAAAGTGCTGAAGCTGTTGTTTTTTTTTATTTTAAAGAAAAATATTGATGTAAGACACTGTAATA